CCCCCCCTCCTTGTGCCCAGGGGCTATTTTTTTTCGGGTCTCCAGTGGGCAATTTGCGGCGATGGAGTTTGTTTTCAGTCAGGCCTCCGTGCGTGACTCAAATTTGGTAGCATGGTTTCCCCTCCCTGCCCACTATGCTCGCCCCCCGGCTGACCCCATACATGTTGCAAGGCCCCGGGCGGCCACTTTCCGAGGGCCATCCCGGCGTCCTCTTGCGTTACCGGTGTGCGTGTGCGCGTGCGTGTGGGAGCCTCCTGCCTCCCGCGCGCCCGGTTTTCAGGGCCGCCCGGCACGCTGTTGCGCGGGTTGATGCTGGCCAGCCAACCAACCAACCAACCCGCAGGAGACGACGGTTGGGCCCACGTGCGCCCCGGTCCGTCCCCCCCGTTCGCCAGAGGCGGCGATGGACTCTAGTCGGACCTTCCAGCAGCCAGGGCTGTGTGTGTCTGTGTGTGTGTGTGTGTGTGGGCCGGTGTCGAAGAGTCCCTGCCCCCCTGGGGGTCCAGTGGGCCGCCTCGGCCTGAGAGTGTTGGCCCGGCGGAGACGGCGCCCTCTCCCGGCCCCTGCCCGATGTGGGGACCCCTTTTGCAGCCTCTACGGGGCTGCCCGTCCCCCGCGTGTTTCTTGGTCCCTTTCTCGCGCGCCGTGTCCTTCGGGGCTTCCCCCCTCCCCCCGGACTCGCCCGGCGCCCGGGGGAGATTGCCAGGCCCCGGGGCCGCCGGGGCCGGGGGGGACCCGCACGCGACCGGCCGGCGGCTCCTATGAACCGGCGGATCGCCGCCCGGTCCAGCAACCGGGCCGGGCGGCGGTGTGTCGGCCGTCGCTTCCCCCCTCGATAGGGGTCGGGGCCCAGGGTGGGCCGAGGCGATTCGCCTCCGCTCCCTTTCCCCCCTGGTGTCTCTCTCCCTCTCCCTCTCCCTCTCCCTCTCTCTCTTTCTCGCTTTCATAAATTCCGCCCCTGTCGGCGCTGGCTCCCATCCGGTCCCTCCCATAGGCGTCCGCCTTCCATCCACCAATCCCCTGTTGCCCCTTCCTCCTTCTCTTCCGGCTCCTTCTCTTCCACCTTCTCCTTCGTTCGTTCGTCTGCTTTCTTGCCCCTCCCCACCCCCCGTCTTCAGCTAATGCCAGACCTGGGCCCCCCCGCCTGCCGGCCTGACGCCCGGAGGTGTCAGCCCGGTGTTCTGGCCCTGCGCCTGTGGCTGCTGCTGTCGCTGCTGTTGGTCTTCCTGGACCGCGCGCGCGGCACGTCCGACATCTCGGACCGTTCGGAGCTCGTCATCCCGAGAGTCACCTTCTTCGAAGCACAGACCGGCTTCATCAACCACTACTTCCATCCGTTCTCCTTCGTCCCGGCCCTCCCCCTGCCGCCGGCCAATGGGCGAAACGCCATCCGAACATGCAACGACACGTGCGTCCTCCTGCTGTGTCCGCACCCCGATGCCCTCCACACGCGCCCCCGAGTATCTCTCCTCCCCCCTCGCCCTCGCCCTCCCTCTGCTCATTCCCCTCCCGTCCCCTCATCCTCTCTCTCTCTCTCTGTCTCTCTCTCGCCCATCGCCCCCGGCCCTTGTCCTCGGCCAGCGACTGCCCCCGGCGCTGCGTCCTGGAATTCGGTGATGTGGGCTTCCAGGTGCTCATGTACCCCACGAGCCTGGTCCAGCACTACTCCGACCTGCGCAGCATCAACGACATCTCCTCCTGCATGTCCGGCATGCTGGCCATGTCCACATTCAACTTGGACTCCCTGGGTGATCTGGAGTCGGGCCAATTCCTGGACAGCACGGCCCCCAAGCTGACCGGCGCCCGCAGCCTCACCCCGTCGCAAAAGGCCCTCCTAGCGCGTCATGGCTGTGCCGACCTGGCCTGCTTGTATGCCCTGTCCATTGCGGACCTGCAGTTGGAGCATTCCTTCTGCTCGACCTATGTGTCCGTCGTGAATCCCTTCCGCAAGGAGGATCACTCCGTCGGGTACACCGTGTCCGATGCCGAGTATGTGCATGGTCCCTTCCCCCAGGCCCTGGTCCGAGCATGTTTGGTCAATGCCCTCGCCGACTTCCTCCCTCCCGAGGCGGCCACCATGCCGCCGGACTCGGTCGAGCGCATCCTCCACTGGGCGGAGTTCGGCTGGCCGGCGGCATTCATGCAGACCGGCTCCGCACCGGCCGAGCCCTTCCCCGAATCCTTGCCTCTCCTGCCGGCCGGCTCGCAGATCCCCTCGGCCCGGATGTGCCTCAGCTTCACCTGGCCATTGGATGTCTACATGCGGGCGCTATCGACTCAGGTCCAGCGCGACTCCCTCCGCCGGCTGCTCGCCCCCGCCGAGCAGACGGCCATCATGCGCGTTGATCCGTCCTACTTTGGCGACGCTCTCGCTTGTACGTGTGATCTTTCCTCTTCCCCCCTTTCCCTGCCCCCAGCTGGCCCCACCGGCCTCTGACACGCACCTGCACGACTGTTTCCCTCTCCTCCTCACCCTTTCCCGTACCTTCACCTTCGCTCTCATCTTCACCTTCACCAATTCCCCCCCCCCCCCCCC